GCGGCCAAGCAACAAAAAGGAGAAAAGAAACCATTCCTCAGAACACAAGAGAGAGTGAAGGATTGACCCACAGGGACGACAAGCAAAATGAGCGCACAAATCTTACGCGTCGTCCCTGCCAGGGTGTGTGGGTGTGTATCTTTTGCCCCTCACCACTGCCCAGCAGCGCAGGCAAGGACAGCCGTGAGGAGCAACAGCGGAGAAGCACGCACAAACAGAGCGTTGGTGGCACTGCGATCCGCAGCATTTGTCACGGCTTTCTGAGTGGCGTTGCTGTTGGTGGCACTGCCGTCCGCGTTGCTTTTCGCGCCGCTCCCATCACTCGGACTGCGGGTGATCGCCGTCGTTGTGGTTATTCCATCATTGTCGCTGGCGGGAGCGGCGGCGTTGGGCGTGCCAGATCGGCCTTGGGTGGTTGAAGATGTTTGTGTACCTCCGTGTGCATCTGCTGCCCTCTCCCCTGCCGTCTGTGTTGACGAAGCCGCAGTGCCAACCGACGGCGTTGGTGTTTTCTGAATACCTTCTGCCGATTGTTCCTGACTTCCGGTGAGACCAGCCACAGTGCCCGGCAGCCCTGCAGGAGCAGTGGGTTCTCCAGGCACCGACCGACTGACGCCTGATGGATTGCCCTCGTGCGCAGTTTTGACGGGGGCTTGAGGTGCTGGCAGCCGTTGTGGCGACGATCGTGTTGCTGCCCGTGGACCGGCTGTTTGCTCTTGTTCCTGTGGTTGGGGTCCAGACTGCACTTCAGCCGCGGGTTGGCTGAAGTTTGGGTACTCACAACCGCCTGACGCGCCCAGTGGATTGTCCGTTGGATTGATGGAGACGTTGCCATCTTCGCTCTTCGACAGATTGTGCAGCGCACTGTTTGCGGCCGCCGTACAGTTCATCGTGAACAAAGCAGCGTCTCCGCCATCCGTTGGCTGGGATGCAGGGCACTTCCCCGTCAAGAACTTCTCCAGGTACACCGAACCGGCAGTGAGGCAGATGGAATTACTGTAAGCAGCGCCTCCACTGCCCTCCGAACCCCCCGGTGTGGTGGGGCACGTGTTCCAGGCAGCAGAACCGCCCTCGCCGGCAACGCGCCAACGCAACTTTTTCTCAGTGTTCGGGCACGACACCTCCACCGACACATTCACATCCCCGGTCGTCTGAGCCTCCTCAGCGTCCGCCCCACAGACAAACGAGACGCAGCCGCCGCAGAGCAGCGCGAGGAGCGCCAGGGCGCACACCGCACGGCGCCGCACCGTCAGCGCCATCAGTAAAAACAGCGGTGGTGGTGGCGGCAGTAGAGCCGCAGCAAAGCCAGTAGGCTGCGGGGCAGCGGAGAGGAAGAAACAGAGAGAGAAATGGGGAGCGCGGTGGGGTGCGGCGCAGAGAGTGAGGGCAGGGAGAGGGAAGGAAGAAAAAGGCGGCAGCCCACTAAGTTCACGCAGCAGCGCCCCGCAGCCGCGCGAAAAGGAACTCATCCCGCCCCCGCCCCACGCAGACGTCTTTGGCGGTGCCAGGGCATTTGGGAGAAACACAACGTGAACCTAAAAAACAGAACTGCCGCGAGGCACCACGGGGCACGACGCCTCCTCCTCCCCGCAGCAGCGCCGCCCGCCGGCTGTGCCTCGTGCCCGCAGGTAAATAAACACACAAACACACAAATATATATTAAAAAAAAACAATCCATTCAGGCACTTCCGTAGAAACGCAGTCCGCTGCTGCACTCCGCTGCTCACTTCCCCAACGCCGCCGCCCAAATCCACGGAATTGCGGCAGCTCCGCGCCGCGTGCGTGTTGGAGTGTTCTCCCTGCACGCTGCGCGCAAACAACACCCCCCACCAACACCCATCGGCAACAGTTTCCCCAGCCGCTTAAAATATGCACCTCCTCCTTCACTCACTGGGCCGCTGCCTCGCCGTGCTGGCGGTAGTGTTGTGCTGCGCATCCGCCGCTGCAAACCGCGGCCCAAACAAATTCCTCCCCCGCTGGGAACACACAAAACAATAAAAAAAGAGGCGCCCAAGAGCAGAGCGTTTTCGGTCGCCGCTCCCGCGCAATTCCCCGCACGTTGCGTCCACCCTCTCAGCCTGAAGGCTCCTGCGGCGCCCACATCTGTACGCCTTTGCCCGGGACGCGACGCCGGGCCCGCCCGCAACACGCAGCGCCTTGCACGCCGTCCCGTTGGCGGCCGCAGCCCCGCGCGAGCCCCTCCCTCTTTTTTCTGCCGCGCCCGCAGAAGGCCCTCCTCCCCCAGCGTGTGTGTGCGTGGGTCCGGGGCACGCGGCTTCTGGAGCCTTTCAGGAAGGCGAGCGGCACGCCGTAACCGCGAGAGACCCTCGCTGGGGCCCAGAACCCCACACACAAACGTGCCCCCATTCGAGGATCAAAGAGGCAACACACATTTGTGTAGCGCACGGCCTCCACACCGTGTGCGCCACACTCCCGCTCAATCTTCTCAGTCCTCCGAAACGGATTCCCCGCACCCCACAGTTTCGCGCCTTCCCGGGGACAGTCGTCTCCGGCAACCGGGGCGTCAGTCGCCCGCAGGGCGCCGTCACCCGCCGCAGTGCGCCCACTGAACGCAGCCGCACTGAAGATGCCACGCGGCAGCGGGCCGACGCGCATGTGTGGCTGAAACCGCCCTGTCGCAACTCACTCCTCCGCGTACTCCCCCGCGGGGGCGTCACGCAGGCGCTGGAGCGTCTCCGACGCCCGCCCGGGGCCCATCGCCGGATGAAAGTCCGTCTTGTTGCCTTTCAGCGCGTGCACGTGGGTGAAGTGGGAGGTGAGCGGGACGCCGCCGCCCATCTGCCTGACGCAGCAAAACACACACAAAAAAAAGGGAGAAAAAAGGCGGCACGCACCTTCCACTGCAGAACGCCGTGGCTGAAAGCACCGCCGGCGCACACACACACACACACGTCCCCGACAGCTGCGCAGGGGCGTCGAAACACGCC